CATAAAACTCGCGACCTACCACTTGCCGGATATGGGGAGTTTTTATTGACGAGTCCCGGAAGATTCCCTACTCGACTCACAGACGGGGAGCGTGTTTGGACTAATTGGAGGATTAGTTGAACAAGAGATAATCAGAAGGCTAACAAACAGCTTTTCTAGGGATACCTTTTTCGGCGCCACGCTAACAATGTAGCGCTCGTCGACTCGACCACGCAGACAATGTCACACGGGAGCAGCCGATAACTTGAATGGATTTTGTCAGCTGCTCGACGAAACAATTATTTTTGTATCATTCGAGCTTCGACTGCCGAAACCTTGTTTGGCCAATAGGGTGGAGGCGTGGGCAGGAGGGACCAAGATACAGTGAGCGTGCACGTCACCCTTGGGGGACTGATTTCCGCGAGAAACGACCCGGTAAAGACCGCGGCTGACGGAGTTGTTCAACGGTGCTAAAGGCGTGAGCGGTGTACCTTGGAGGATTTCTGAGCATTCAGGATTCAGGACCCCGATGCCGACGTCCCGATGCACGTCCCGTAGGGATCGTCGCTGGATGATTATGCCTCATATGACTAAAGGTCTTCAGTCGACGTGATGAGCTGGGATGAATATCCCCTTCACTCGATTTAATCGTGCTGTCGTCGGGGAATGGCATCTCAGAAGTTCAGGATCCTCACGGTACATAGGTCAGATCTCGGTTCCTGCAAGCATGGCCTCTGTCAATGAGTCGTACGTCTTGTATCTGACAAAATGTAGGCAGGTATCCGCTCCACGGAACATGACGACGGCGATTGCGTGGTACGGTATTGGAAGTTTTTCACGGGATTGTCGAAGCGGAGCGAGCTCGGAACAAAGTCCAGTTTAAAATGTCATTTGGCGCCTAGACCGTTCCCGACTCTGCGCCGATAGCAAGCTGCGAACACGGATTTAAAGAGGGTGAACTCATTCCGACACCTCTAAAGCGTCGACAAGCGTGCGGGGAAAGAGACGGGCGACGTTTTCCGATAACGCTCCTGGCTTCAAAGAGCCTCTATCGCTTCAAGCCCTGCTCCCACGACATGGGGGGAATCAGACGCAAAAAGCTCTCTTTAGATAATTAAGCTTTCGTTTTCGCCGCTTGTGTTTTTCCTCCGCAGGATATCGTGCTGCGAGTTTTTCGGTCATTCAAAAACTCGAGTACGGTCGGTACGATAGAGCTTACTTGACTTCTTCATTTACGCCCCGCCGTCGTCATGCGCGAGACGCGTCTCGTGGCGGTCAGAGCCGACTCCAAGCTCGCTGACTGCTGTCCGCAAGAAAAGTATCGCGCAGAGCTCTTGGAACGCCGAGGTCGTCTCGACTCTCGAAACTTGACTCGTCGGGAGGCTGAAGAACTTGTGAAGTTTGATCGCCTGAAAGTTCCGCTCACATCCTAGCAGAAAACAGTTCGCAACTAAGCTAGGGCTAATGAGGAAAACGTCGGCCTGAAGAATCCCTTCTCTGCCCGGACGGAGTTCCGAGCGTCACATTAATATTCCTCTTGAATATTTCTTCCGTGAGCTCAACATCAAATGCACCAGCCGACTTGATTAAAACGTAATTGTCTCCATATTATGCCTGCCGAAACATAACACCACTTAGGTCCTCGACTCGCCGCCGCTGACTCTGGAGAGCGGAAAAAGAGTAGCTGACCGTCTCAGAGTAACTCACTCTTTCTCCGTCAGATCGCTGCAAGAGCTGACCCGTCATGTATTGACCAAGTCCATTTTATTTTCCAGACTTCCAGACTGCTCATCAAGTTACCTAGCCATATTTTTGCAGACCGTCTGATGCCGAACCTATCTTCAATGGTTCTAAATGGGAAACCCATTCTCCCCAAGCCTTGTCTGACCCGAATCAAATGTTTAGTGTGAGACGATCCCCGGAGTCTCGATTTGAAGTTGAGAATGAACGAAGATTCTACGTTCCAACTCCTCGATGAGCGCCCCCTGACGTTCCAGGGCTTTGAGACAAGGGTTCGGCCGAACAAAATCCTGCATTCTTTGTGGTTCAGAATCGCTGTAGATAACAAAACACCCTTACCAGTCGTTCGGACCGCCGCTGATGGCTGTCCGACAAATCGTGAAATTTGACCTCTTTGAGAAGAGTCTGATTCGGTGCGGCAGCGCATCGCTCAACCGGATGAACCATTGAATCTGTGCGTTCCTTTTTTGAAACTTCCCTGCTAGAAATCATTCAATGCCGTCGATTTGGAGAACATCGATTAGTAGCAAGTGATTTCGAAAATGATACAGTGGGGTTGGAGGCTCTCGGGAATCCATCTGAGAGTTCCTGTGTCCTGCGCCGTATCATATTATTGTTCGAGGCAGCGTCTTCAATTGAAGAATCCTACTAAAGCTGGATTGTTTGCTCTGTGATTCATGCTAAGCTACCTCCAGATTCCCCCTCCGTCTGGCAGAAGAGCCTACGCAGACAGAATCGGAGGTTCTTTTATTTTCCGCCGTAAGCGACCCGAAAATCAAGAAATCAATAATTCTTTCGCACGGAGATCGGGACTCCGGCGATGCTCAGAAGTCAGAAATCGCTGGCTCCTCTGACTCGAGAGATATAATCGGAGGCGGGAACGAGGTTGTGAGCCCGACTGCTCAGAACCGCAATTTAGAAAGTTTCTGCAGGGCTTGCTGATTGAAGACGAGATGAACATACCCAGCAGGCTCAATCTTTCCGCGGAGCTCTTGCAAAATAAGTGTTTCGTTCCCAGCTGACAGGAAGGGAGCATATTGTTTCGAGCTTCCTTCAACTCTAGTCCCGCGTGTGGAGGGACGCATCACTACTCTAGAATCGACCGTGTCCGAAAGAAGATCTTGTGATGAGGACTCGTATCCTCTCCGGAAATCATCGCGAATCGAGCTCTCGAGAGGGGATCCGAGATCCACAACTCATTCGCTAGCCAACTCGAAGAAGGGGATATCCATCAACTACCGAGTCCGTTGGACCCAACCTCCCCCGTTTATTGAAGTCGAAGTCTCACGATGGGTTCTCGTGTCTTGAGAAGAAAATTCACCGTCTAGAACGACGCCGACGTCTGAATTCGGTCGAAACTCCAACGGATCGGGATTGATCAAGCTTCTGAAAGCATCCCTATATGTTCCAGAGACTCATCCGCTCCTCCGGCGTGGCTACGTACACTATGACCAATAACACCATTGGGAGCAATACCGATGATTTTTCGAGCGGAGCCCCGCCGGACTTCAGCGAGTAGTCGATCTGACATTTTTTCTTATCTGGAAATCGACGTGAAGAATCGGGCATAGGAATTGTTCAATATGAGAATGTTTCATCAAAACGGAGACGAGTACTTGAACGGGACCCACCGCTGATGCATCCGGGTGTAGACAGGAAAGAGCAATTCAGAACAGCCTCTTTCAAGAACGAATTCGGAGACGTCAGTTCGTATGCGCAAGTGAAGGCCAAAGTCGAGTTGCTCTTAAACGTCTCTGGAATGATGGATTTGATAGCACACTGAACCTCGGAGGACAGACCACCATCACTTATTGGAGAAGTTCTCGAATTATGCACTTTGTCTCGGAAAAAGTTCGAATCCGGCAAGTTGTTTGAACTCAGACATGAAATATAGGCAGAAGTAATTCACGAAACTCCGCCACAGAGCGATCGATTATGTGGTCGAAGATCCATGACTTCCAAAAATCGAATCATGAAGAGAGGTTTGTGATTGAGCCTGAATCATGAAATCCTGGTTTGACCCTTTTGGAAAAAATGGGAGTTCTCACCGATCCTATCACAGCGCGTCCGATGCATCATATGCGAAGCATCGCAGCCCTCGGTGCAGTTTAGGTTCTTCGGCGTATCTTCTTGTGTATAGATGAGCATCTTGACGTCCTCAGGTATGTAAATACCTTGCAAATATCGACATCGACTGGCATGAGCAACACTTATGAGCGTAACGTCCAATTCCGAGCGGAATGTCTCATACGATAGAACAAGTCCGGTGATCGTTGTCAGAGTCCACAGAAGAACGGACGCGGATGAGGGTCGCATGCTCGGGAACAACTTTATTTCACCTGGCCTCGGGGAGCACGAATCGATGTACTCGCAGCAAAGCTGGAACGATATGAGCTATCGCCTCGTTGAGCTCCGAAGTTTATAGAACTGGTTTTGAGTGACACCAAGGACTCATACTGCAGACTGGTGATTCAAGCAGAAGCTGTCCCAACTATTCAGATGTCAAGCTACGAGATCCGGATCAACGGTGTGGAATACCGACGGGACCGAGCTTGGGGCGTAAGCGAACGTAATTCGATTGACTCAGTCAGATAATCTGTCCGATATTGAATTTCAGGCAATGCTTCCTCCGCCGAAGCATTCCGTCCTTGACAGGAGCCGCAAGTGGATCTGAGCTTCAGCCTCTCTTGACGCCGCGACTCGAGATTCTTGGACCTCGAGAATGAGATCCATTGACGCAAACGGATTCCCTGAGGGTGCCGACGACGACGCGACGCGATAGAATTCACGTGTTGGATCGCGGATAGTATCGACGTTAGCGGAACCCGCCGGAGAGCTTCATCGGGGATCTCGTCCACGAAAGGAAGCTCGCCGACGATTACGTTGGTTTATCTTTTCGTGGTACCCGGATGCTTGCTGAGCCTTTGTAAAAATCCAAGTCCCGTCTGTCTATCGCAGCTCAGTCAGTCAGCCAGCCCGAGTCGAGGAAGTCACGATCACGAAGCAGGGCGCTATGCAGATACTATGATTCGCAATGGAACAGCGCTTCGCTGAAGAATGGACGTTTGTGATGCTGAATTGAAGCCGCGGCCTAATTGCACCGAAGCCGCTTTCGACAACAGATCACCAGAAGTTTGAGGAAAGTCAGTATGATCAGTCTCAACGGGTTTATTCTTTGAAAAATCTCTTCACCAGCACTCACGAGCATATAGTCTCACACTCTGAAAATATACATCCCAGGGTTTAAAATCACGCATTTCATAAATAGGGTCGATTTTCGCTAGTTAATTATTTATAAAATCCTTGGCGAATGAACATTGTGCCTCGATTCATGGAGTTTCTCCGAGCCGACAAGGATAGGGGTCCGATGTAAGTCCGGGAATCGACGTCTTTCTGTCTCGAAGTTGGTGAACCTGAATCCAACGTGAGAGTCGAATCGGGAGCATGGGCTGCCGTTTTGGGGAGGTTTGGATTCTGTTCAGTTTAGAAAGAGATTTCCTCTGGTGTTTCGCCGTCTGACTGAGGTCTCTTCTGGTTGATGAGGACTGCGGTTTTCGGGGCGGTTTTCGTGTTCTGGGTAACCTTAGCAAGTTTACCGAGATCGAGAGCTCCTGTCAGGGGACACTTCCTCGTCTTACACTTCATTTCTCCTCCGGAACCGCATCGACATACCATACAGGCTCCTGAGGCTCGTTGCACGATTTCCCCGTAACGGTACTTCCGTCCATCGATTTCACACTCCTGATCCTTGAAGCGGTTCTTCTCGGGCAGCGGTACGAAGGGACGCTGTTTCTTCTGTGTGAAAGAATGCTTGTTGTTTTTCAAAGGAACCTCTGGGTCGCATTCGATTATCGGACAGCAAACTCCACTCCGCCGAACCTCGCGGCAACCCTTGGTGATCTTGACCGGTGGACACTGGGTTTTCCAGCAGAGAACTTCTCCGCTGAAACACATGCATTTGTCACAGGCGTCCTTTCGTTGAACGGTGCCGCCATGTCGGAAAATCTGGCCTTCGAACACGCACGAGCCGTTCCGGTTGGAGTTTAATGTCGAGGTGTTCTTCGTACGTCGAACTTTGTAGGAACGGCCACCGATCTTGACTCGATCGCTACTTCGGAGAATTCGGATCACACCTCCAAACTCTTGGGCTGCGATAGCCTCTGCCAGGAGTATCAAACTCCACGAGATCAGCTGCTGCGTCTTCATGACTGCTTGTTCTTGAAGAGACGGACTTTCACTTTTTCCGGCGGGCGTCTTCCCGTGATGCCGTTATGTAGTTGCAGCTTAGGAGAAAGGGAAGTTCACGGGCTGGCTGCCCGCCCGGTCGACCGCCCGCTTGTCTGCCCGTTTCCCAGGCCGCGTGGTCGTCTGCCCGAACGGTCAACCATCCATCTGAATGTACGTTGTTTCTCCTCGACAGAAAGCAGAAAGAATTGAAGACGCGCGGACGGATGGGCCAACGAATAGCCGACCGGACAGACTGACCGACCCAACGGCTGACAGACCGACAGATCCATAGACGGTCGAATGGACTTTTCGCTGGAGCCCGCACCGGTCAAAACACACGGCGCCGTACCTTTGCTCTGGCGGATAGGGTTGTCCGGTGCTGCGCAGAAGAGCAAGAGCACCCGCGGAACGAATTGCATCGATCCGGTGGGGTCCGACAGACCGTATGCATGTATGTCTCTCGCTCTCATTGACGTCCTTCCGACGCTCTCTTCGCATCTGAGAACACATAATCGGAGGATTTGACAGACAACTCGCAAGCTATTATTCGATCCGCTTGTATACTAGCGAGTGTCTCCGGGAGAATGATGTCCGCGCACAAAATTCTGAGGTGGAACACAGGTCGAAATGATCCAACAACAATGATATACTAGGTACAACCGGACAGTGAGAAATTTTAATTTGGTTGGTCGATGGGGGAGTTTTTTTCTCTGTCTGGTCCTTAGATGGGGAGGATGTCCGAGCGGGCATCGAGATGCGTTTCAAGACTGGAAAGCTGGTGTTCAGCGATAGGATGGTTGCAGTCTGTAATCAAATTGTGACGGTGACAACTTGAACTCGCTGTCGACTGCAGCGACCTGCTCATGCGATGGGCTGACAGACCAAATCCGGACCACAAGCAAACCGTCGGTCGGGAACGCCTCCCACTGATAGTTTCCCAATAATCCCTTTCCACGCAGTAGAATGACGATTATTCGAATGTAGAAACTGCATTTTGACCCGGAGATAAGCATCTCTCGGAAATTTGAGACTGGTAACGATGACATGGCGTACTGGTCGACCTCACATTCAGACATTCGCTCCCGCTTGAAGTGATGACACGATCTACGGTGACTAAATCATTCCGACATCGGGTGGGACACAGCATCTTGTCATGAATTTTTTCTGCTAGACAAGTTCGCGAAGTCTCCACAGAAAAATGGAAAGGTGGCGGAAGCCATTACTTCTGCAAAACGAAAACGGTTCGTTGATGATTTCCAAACTCACCGTCCCAAGGAAGAAGGCAGGTTCCGCTCTGTGGAAATTCGAGGATAATCCGAGATTCGGGTCCGAGGGTCGCGAAGCTCCGATTCCCCGTTTGATGAGTTCACGGCAGCCCGGCATGTTTTGTGGATCCGAGATGTATCTGGGGGAATACTGAGTGAGTCTCGAGCTTTCCGGGACCCTGTCGCATGCCCGGGACATGCGAAGTCGCCATCGTCATCCTCAATCGGGCTTCACTGGATGCTTGTTGATGTTGTCGCTGATGCTAATCATTTCCGCCCTCTCCGAAACTTTGTACTGCGACATCGTGATATGGGGTCATATGGCAAGGAGCTGTTTCCGATCTTTCGACTTCCCGAGCCATTCCAGAGAGTAGATCTATCGCCGAGGGATGTGACAGCTTGCGAACCCGGTTAACAAAGCGTTGATTCGACTCGATCGTCCGGAAGGGTTTCCAGAAAAGATGACCTCTGCCGATGAAAAGTGCCAGCAACAATGGACGATCGAAATGATGAGGAGGAAATCTCGAACAGGCCATCTAAGGCTCTTCTTCGTTGTTTCTGAGCCCTCCTCAACGACACCCCCTACAAATTCGACAGGATCGTGATGATTCTCTTCCCGCGCTGAAGGCTCGAAGAAGACCGGGCGATGATTCTGATTGTGTTCAGGTCACTCCTTCTCATCGAGGCATTCTCCAGGAATCGGCTAAGAAATCTTGGAATTGATCCGATACATTTAGCGATGGAGGCATCAGTGCTCAAACGGAGGAATGGGAAGCGAGACATTTCCCATCCATGACTTCAACGGGCGCTTCCTCAACAGCGCGTCATTCCCTCTGAGATTTTCCCTCATCCAAAACCGCTTGAATGCAAATATTGAGAAGACTTCTTGACCCAGAAACTGCGGTCGTGTGGGAGAAAGATGAAGTCATCGAAATATTCTACAGAATCCAGTCCACAAGTTTTTCATAGCCAGACTCCCAGACCATTACGAACATTGGTAGTCAGGTCAGGGAAGTGAGTGAGCGTTGGGAGCTACCGATACCGCGAAAGTCAAGAGAGCCAAAACAAAATCAATGTTTGTTTCGACTATATTCGTCGCTCGCAACTCACAACGGCCATGACTTGCCTGCGATAACTTTATGTCTTCTGCTTGACTTCCGTCAAAAGCGTCACAAAAAAAAATAATCTTCCGCCATTAGGAATTTTCACTTCCCTGTTTCTATGTCGTCATCATTCAGATGTACTGTCATGACTCCTTTCTCGATTCTCCGAGTTTCCGTACTCCGCGTGAATTTCGCATGTCAGCTCATCTCTCAATCTTCCTAAATCAACGGCTTCAACCGAGCATCTTGTGTTACAGACCCCACAAGGGCGGAGGAAACGCGACAAAACACTTTCGCGTCAGGATGTTCTGCTTCCCAAAGAATTTTCAAATATCATTACTCCTGTTTCTCCACAGACTGATGGCACGGTGGCGGGAAAATAATACAGTGAAGGTATCGACGATTTGTCCAAATTACCTATTTTTCTGCGTCATTGTCCCGCATCTCCATCAGACATTGACAGCTCGAAGACTCCTCTCATTACGAAAAATACGGCGTTTCCCGAATGGGACGAGAATCGGTTCATTTCAGCGGATGACGAGAACCAAGCCCAGAGAAAGGGAGAGAGCTAATTCATCCCAACCTTCGAAAAATGGGGTCTTCGCTGAACTATCTGTCGAAAAATAGACTAAGACACCTTACAGAGTCACATGAAAAGAGCCCGAAAGTCACAAGTGGCTCGGTGTTATCCCGGAAGATCTAACGGTCTCAACGAATCTCGAGAATTCTCCTATAAGACGGATCCGACTCCCCTGTACTCTCGCAGCACTCCTCATAATGCTACAAATTGGATTCTTCGCTTCGGTCAGGAGCATTCTCATATGTCCACTATGTGTATCGATATTGGCCACCGGCAGACTCTTCCGTCAGGTGTTGTATCCGGTACCAACTTCGATTACGAACGCGTTACATCATGTCGCTAGATTCCGAAGATGACGACGGCAAGTTTGTAGGAGGAGGACAGCTTTCGCGCGGATCTACGATCGACACGGACATCACAGGCGCTCCGGACGATAACGGGCGAGTATTCGGAGTCGGTGACCGATCGGGTTGTTAGGAAGTGCCTTATCTATCACATATCGCAAATGTATGTACACGGCAAGATGTTTGATGATCAAATCCGTGCTGATCTTTGAACACGGTAGTATCACTTATTACATAAACGAAACAGACAGAAGCGCTGAAGTGAGTGATCGTGATCGATGTCTTGTGTCCACCTCTCGATCGATGTCCGCTGGTCCGTTTGTTCGGATGTATGTACACCTCCCTTGCTTGATGACCGCAGGCTGTAATGAACGCTAGGAGCTTCCGGCCCTTCACCGGTGTTGCTTGCGCTGGTTATTCGGTCCCTCGTTCGATCAATCCATTGATCCGTCAATTTGTTTATCAAGTTTCCCATCCGCGATCATTTTATCGCGCGCCGCGCGAGGAGTACAATTCACTCTGACTCAAATCAGTAGAATCGAAGCATCGGGTTTATCCGTCCCGAGTTTCGTGGAAGGCATTCTTTCGCATGGCACTGTGACGCCTTTCGTCGGCTATTTCACGCCGCACCGCCGCGTTGTCGCCAAGCGGATCTCTTTGCGGCGTGCATGACCTGCTGCTACTGGTGCTCAAAATGCAGGCGCCATCTCCGTCCGATAATGCTCGGCACCTCATAAAACCATCAGTCCCGTGAGGAGATGGTTTCCATTGATTTGAATTTTAGCCGACTTGCTGACTTCTGGTCCTCCGAAGGCGGTCGGTCAGGGTATCGACCGGGTCAAACGCTTTTCGCTTTGCTCGGATAGAGGCAGATCACCGTGTTAAAATACGGTGAACTGAATGGAGAGTTCGAATGCATCGAGTCCCGAACGGAACCCTTGAATCCGGTCCAAGATTCACGTCTGGTAAATCTCACTTATCCGATAATAAGAGCAGGAAGAGGCGCGCGGACTTTGTTGACAAAACCTCGACAGATTCTTTTCAGTAGCTGCCCCACAAAAAATATTATATGACTAATGGTCCGGTCATGATGCACCGGGCTGTGAGTGACCGAGCGGGCGCGCTGAAAGCATCCATCTCTTTCATCGGCTTTCTGATCCAATATCGCTCCCAAGACTAACCGGGGGGGGGAAGGAAATGATGAAATCCTGAGGCTTCATCCGGTTTTTCCGCTTTTTTTTCTATATTATATATCTCGACACTAGCTCGAGCACAGCGGCGGGCGGGGCCGCGTCATAAATAATGTGGAAGAGGACCCTGTGAGGCTTGCATTGGGAGCGGGGAGGCGGCACAAAGCGCGCATCATCACACCTTGACGATTAGCCCACAAGAGAATGGGGAAAAGCATGACCGCGGAAGCAGCGTATACCATCACCAGCGAGAAACACGCACAGAATTCTGATCCATCGTGATCAATTGGATACAAACCACAGGGAGGAAAAGAAGACTTTTCACTCCAACAAACGATGAGCAGCAGATGGAAGACCGACAGGCACGTGAAGTTATGGCTCCGCTTCCATCAACACAAAGAAAACAAATCATGATCGAACATCTAATCAGTGGTTTCTGCGTTTCCATTTGTCAAGAAGCTCGGATTACCCATTTTGCGAACTTCCGGGCTCGCTCGGAGGAGGGAGAACAGGAAGAAAAAAAGGTATAAGATA